ATTGAGGTTTTGATTTGGATTTCCCTGATGCTGAGGGATATTGAGCACTTTTTCATGTGTCTGTTCGGACAATATTTTTTAAAAGAACCAGTTTTATTAAAAAAAAAAAGTGAGGCACCTGGTTAGGTCAGTCTGTGGACCGTGCCACTCTTGATCGCTGGGTTGTGAGTTTGAGCCTCACCTTGGGTGGAGATTTACTTAAAAATAAAATCTTTAAAAAAATGTAAAGCTATAAAAAATATAAACCCCAAAATGTTATGCTTATGCACTGAATTCAACATTATTTTTTAAAAAATTCTATCAAGATTGTGCACGGTCTGTTTTCATAAGGTCGATGCAGTGGGGGAAACAAAGTGATAAGGTCCAAAAACACATTTTCAAGAATTTGCAAAATCTGTGCTCGAGAAAAACAACACTTAGAACAGCAGGGACTTAAATGAATCTCTTTGACAGGACAAAGATTTTTGCTTTTGGGTTTTTGTTGTTGTTGTTGTTGTTGTTTTTCATCAACAGCCAGTATTGTAATTCATACGGAAACACTAAATGTAGGAATGTTTTCTTGAATTCACAACGAAAAATGAGATGAAACAGAAAGCCAAGACAATTATAGAGGGGAGAGGCACATTAGCACTAAATTACAGGACATTTGGAAAACCAGATGCTTCCCCCAAACACATTGAATTTATTTAAAACAAAACAAAACAAAACAAAAACCCTGGACAGGAAGGCCATTAAATCAATGGCTTCCGTGCACCAACAGAACACTTAAAATCGAAAAAAGAAAAAAAAATTCAAGCAAGCAAGAGAAAACTATACAATGCATAGAAATGACCCACTTATAAAAGAAGATTAGCGGCCCATTTCTATCTGTTTCATTATGTTAAAATTCAATTTCATTCCTTTTTAAAAGCACAGATGCATAATGACGCCCACAGCTGGGTCTCCATGAGCCCCTAGGTGGAAACCCTCCTTCTTGCCTCCTTCTCTCGGGGGCCATAAAACACTGCTCCGTTCATGCACATTCTCTCACACCTAAGGGGTGACCTTAGCAAAACATAGCACCCCCAAAATAAGCACCTCTGCACAAGGATTATTTTGACCTGAAGGCAATCGCAAAGAGCAGATAGAAGACAGCCCTAGTGCAGGTCACTTGCCTAAAAGCAGGACATACCTTGGGAAGGTGTCCCCCACCCCCTCAGGACTTAAATTTCCGGAGACAATGCAAGACCCTCCTCAGCCTGGAGGTGGCGCCAGAGGAACCCATATAAAAAATCCTGCTACGGGGCGCCAGGTTGCGCAGTGGGTTGAGCGTCTGACTCTTGGTTTCAGCTCAGGTCGTGATCTCAGGGTTCTGAGATACAGGACCGCGTTAGGCTCCGCGTTCAGCACGGAATCTGCTTGGGATTCTCTCCCTCTCTCTCTGCCTCTCCTCCCCCCCCCAAATAAATAATAAATCTTTAAAAAAATTCCTCCTAAAACGAGCTGTAAATACACGGGAGCCCTCCTCCCCACAGTTTGCATTGGCCAGGGATATGGGAGCACTACCCACCTGCTCATTCTGCGTTTTGGCTTTTCTCAGGGCAGTTTGGATTCACATTTCACCCTAGAATCGTTTTATGGAGAGATCCCAACGGGTCTCCCCAGGTACCGTTGTCCCACGGAGGGATGGAATCTCAGGGGCTGAAAGCACCCCAGGGGCAAGGTTTGGGGCAGAGGAGATGGATCCCTTGCAGCCCCCTGTCTAGAGCACACCCCCACCTGTTGGGGGGAATGCCCACCCACCCCCAGGAATCCCAGAATTGCTTTGAAGATTATTTTAAGCGGACGACATTTGGATTCAAGAGATGCAGAAGAAACATTTTTTGGGGGGAGTTTCTCTTATCTGACTAAAAGCAGAAAGTTCTGGAAAATGAGGCTGCCATAAATTCCCTCTTTGGGGTCGCTTTTAGTGCCGGAAAGGACACCAAGGGTAAACCTACCATGAATGCCCTCTCTGGGCAGAGTTTTTGGTCACGAAAAAGACTGAAAGACTTCTCACACTTGCATGAACAAGCATTATCACAAAATTTCTCTTTTTTTTTTAAATTCTTATGTTAATCCCCATACATTACATCATTAGCTTTAGATGTAGTGTTCCATGATTCGTTGTTTGTGCATAACACCCAGTGCTCCATGCAGAACGTGCCCTCCTCAATACCCA